AGACACAAAGAAAGCCGTCGCGCAACGCGCGCCATCTAGTTATCTCGTTATACAGGGTGTAAATTTCAGACGGGGCAGCAAGGCCAGCTACCTTAATCGTTGTAATTACAGGAAAACGGTTCTAGAAGACTATAATGAATTTTGAAGATATTTTGATTGGCATTCACAGATTTTGAAAAAAATGGTACAGTCAGCAAGATAAAAGGCAATTTTTAAAAAAATTTTTTTTATGGCATTCGATCCGGTCTCTGGTAAGGATCAATAGTCTCTATAGAACCAACTGAGGTGAAAGTACTCGAAATGGCAGAAATCGCAAAAATTTTTTACCACACATTTTAAATGAAAAGTTTTTGTTAGAAACGAAACTGGCCACTACTCTACAAATAAGACTTAAGAGCTCTCATGCCAAAAAAGTTTTGACGTTGGCTCCGCCCAAATTTGTGAAACAAATATATGCCTGAAGTTCGCGTGACATGCGACAGGAGATGTTGAATTTTGCGTATTAAAAGTACCAAATTCGTATCTAATTTTTGTCCTAATAACCTGTACCATTTCGAGGATAAATCGAAAAAATTTGAAAATTAGAGGTCATTTCGTGATTTTTATCTATCGAGGAAACTTTATTGTTTTATGTTTCTGATTAATGTCTATGCTTGAATATATCGTGTAGTTACTCATACAATATTTTATTTTTAACTTTAAAGTGGATATACCCCTCTAAAATCAAATCGAAGATTAGGAATTTTTCCTCTGCTCCCTCTTAAGTAAACCCAAATCATAATCATATCACTATTTTTTAAATTTGGAACAGCTTGTTTTGTTTTGTTAATGAAGAATTGTCACTTTTAAGACGATTTTTAGTCAAAATGTTCTCAAGCGAGGAAACAAATTAATTGGAACATATGGTCCTATCAAATGGCCACCGCGTAATCCTGATCTGACGCCTCTTGATTTTTTCTTTGGGGCTATGTAAAAATTAAATTTATAAAAAAAATACAACAGTGTTCAAGAATTGAAAGACGCACTTGCAGCAATTTTTAATAGAATTCATCTGATTATAATTTCAGCCGCTACTTGCTCTTTGCGAAAGAGAGCGAATCGATGCATCCTTCAATCAATTCGAGCACTTACTATCATAGACTTATTATGGTATTTTGCTTTTCGTTATTGTTTTTATTTTGAAATACATAATACTTTGTCGATTTGTTAGTTTCCTTATTGTTTCCGTAGTGTTAACTACCTAGAATAACTGATTACTAAATAGATCCCTACAAAATGTATGGTAAAACTCTTTTGCCATTTCTAACATTTAGAGTACTCTTACCTCAGTTGGTCCTATAGAGTCTATTGATCCTTACCAGAGACCGGATCGAATGGCATAAAAAAAAGTTTTGTAAAAATTTCCTTTTATCTTGCTGACTGTACCATTTATTCAAAATCTGTGAATGCCAATCAAAATATCTTCAAAATTCATGGATAGTCTTCTAGAACCATTTTCCTGTAATTACAACGATTAAGGTAGCTGGCCTTGCTGCCCCATCTCAAATTTACACCCTGTATATATAAAGCTACAAGTTCTTACTCACTGATAGAAATAGAACGCATACTTCCCGATATGGTGGAAAAAAGATATTTATACCGTTGTACGCGGATAGGCTTCAAGGCAAAGAATCAAATATGAGAAGACCTGAATGTGGAAAACGAGTCATCAACGGCCTGCAAAAACTATAATACATGGGGGGATTTTTGTGCATTTTTATGAGATACAATTGTACAATTTCAACCTGGTCAATTACCGCGGGAAGTAAAAAATGTTCGAAATTCAAATAAACAAGATGGCCGCCATACAAATTTCAAAAGCCTCCTATCACGGAAACTATTAGAGATAGGTAGGAGGTGCTCGAAGGAATGTCATAGAGGGTAACACTGGTCAACCGCCTGGGTTAAAAAAACTCAAGATGGCGATTTCAAAATGGCGGCCGAAGAAAAACTTGCTTCGATCCGGCTGAAAATTGGCATGCGAGGGTCTTTAGGAGTCCTTAATCATAATTTGGGGTCAATGTATTTAATTTTTTTTAAAACAAAGTCCCTAAATGCCAAAGCCGCAGGTCACGGTCCGTGGAGGGCGAAGCCCGAAGCGTCCGCACGCCTTCGTATGGAGGTAATTATATGCGAAGGCGTAATAGATTACGAGTACAAGATCTCACAATTGTAAAAATGTAAAGCATGCTTCCCGATGTAGTGGAAATGAGATACTTATTATAGCGTTGTTGTATCTCAACCATATCTGTTGGATTCCAATTTCTTGAAAGCTATGCCAAAGAGAAGTATTTAGGGGGAAAAAATGCCAAACTACTGCCGAATTTCCTGTACTATGAACACCAATTCAACGATAATCCAGAATACTCAGACCAAAAGCAACTTAGAAATGTTCGTTTCTTAAATTGGCCCAAATCGGGAATCGACCCCCTCATCAACCGCCCATAGTACTAACTGCTGTGCCACCGAAGAGCATGAGCACACCCCGCAAACTGAACCCGACCGTAGGTGGGGCACAGGGCTCGTTTTATATGCAATTGTAACTTTTCATTGAAAAAAAAAAACCACCCTAAAAAGTTTGCTTAACGACTTTTTTCTATTTCCATGGGATCCCCTCATCGGATACTCGGATCATCGGATCTGACTTCTTGGTGACGATGGGACTGTTTCGGACTCCTTAGTACATTTCATACTTTTTTCTGGTTCTCTTGGTGACGGTGATTTGGTACATGAATTGTGTCAAGTGAAAAGTCGAGTTTTATTTGCGGAAAACATTCTTTCTTATAGCCGAAACGAACCCGGAACAGTATCGTCGGAGTTGAGAGTATACCCTTTCAAATAAAAAAAGAAATTTTCAAAATCGGTCCACAATTGATGGAGGAATCGATATTGTACACTGACATGCCTATAAAATTTGAAGATTTTCCTCGATTTACATGGATTTGGTGACAATGGGACTACCACGAGAGTGCAACCCTTTGAAACAAAAAAAGAATATTCAAAATACAATTGACGGAGAAATCTGAAAACACTAAAAAAGTACATACAGCCAAACGTATAACCGTAATTTTAACCGACTTTAAAAAAAAGGAGGCGGTCCTCAATTCGACTGTATGTTTTTTTTGTATATATATTAGGCGATAACCCTATTTGAATGGACCGATTTTGATGATTCTTTTTTTTGTTAAAAAAGTATACCTTAGAAGGTCCTATTTAAATTTGAAGAAAATATTCGACCTCTAGTATTAGTTTAGTACTTTGTACTGAGATTATTTTTGAAGTCGCTTAATAATAATTAAATTTTTATTGAATTGATATTCAATTATTTTTTGTGAAATTACTCCACTAGTTTGTTATAATTATTAATACAAAGATCGAACACTCAGAAAAAACGTTTTCTGAGTGTTCGATCTTTGTATTAATCGCTTAATAATACTTAAAGTAAATAACAATGTAACTGACAGAGTAACAAATTTTTTTTTTATTGCGGCAATCAACTCCAATTAACATGATGACTTCTGTAAATGAATAAATCATTTTTCGATAATGATATTTTAATCATTAAAGACATTGAGGCTTTGTCTTACCTCATATGTGATTTCTATGTAATTTTTCGGGGCGTAGACAGAAGTGTTGAAGTGTAGAACTACGGACACCTTAGCGACCGGTAGCTCAGTTGAAAGAGCGATGGGCAAAGAATCAGGTTGGAGTCCTGTCGGGTCGATAGTATTTTTCTTTGTGTTCAATCTCCTTAATTCTTGATTTTTTAACCGACTTCAAAAAAAGAGGAGGTTCTCATTTCGACGGCATGTTTTTTTATTGTTACGAAAAAACAACGGCCGCGGTAATTAGTTGTAATAGTGAATTATCTCCTTGTAATTAATTAATTCGTTGTAATTAATGACATTTTGAAATAACGATCTTTTTGCAAATTAATGAGTAGGAAAAAATACAAGTATTCATTCAGTGTTTTTAATTTTTCATTGTTTAATACAAATCGAAGGTATAATGAAATATATGATGACATAAGATATCATTTTAGCATAAAATGTGTTTTTTTTAATATGGACTTACACCACTTTTCCAATGAAACACATATTATTATGGTGATTGGAGTTGTGTCATAATATTGAATTAGTACTAAAAACATATGCGTTTTAGAGAAAAACAATGATTAAATAACACTTACTTTATATTTACTTACTTTATATATTTAACTGTCATGGCAAAATACGCTCTACTCGTATAGCTTTTACGTTTTAACTTAAATGAGCGTCCCGGGCACGCGGGCGAGGATGGTTGTATTTGGGCTACGCGGGGACGGTTGTATTATTCAGAGTCATGTTGTTGCCTAGTGAATAGAATTAAGATTCGCCATTAATGTATCAAATTCATCAAAGCTAGTTTCACGCGGTCGCCGCGTGAAAATTTCTCCTCGTGTAACTGGACGCTTACTGTTAGGCTCAACTCACACTGGCGCAGAGTCGAAGCGTCGCGACGTGTCATGTTTTTCGCCTATAGCATATTCATCTCTATTTTCGTATTATTAAGGCACAGACGAAAAACAGGACGCGACGCGACGCTTCGACTCTGCGCCAGTGTGAGTTGAGCCTTAGAAAGTTCAATGACACATGCACGTTAATGCAAATCACCTCATATAATCACGTCGATATCGTCCACAAATATGCGCGTGTAAATTATTGACATTTGTGGTAAACGCCGCTGCGGTCTTTGAACAGAGTAATTTGTACCTATTTTAGATGCGATATTATTTTAATAATAAGCAATAGGTATAACTTTGCTTCAACAAAAATCATTAAAAACAAACTATGTGAAAATGCGTAACAGAGGTTTTGCACTCGAAGCCTTGGTTCACATGGTATTGT